TGAAGGGGAGCAAGTGATATTGCCAATCAAAAACCAGCTAGCAATTGATCCGCTCAGCTGAGTTCACATGCATGCTCCATGTAAGTGACATAGAGAGAGTGTAGACTTCCATTGTCTGCTAGATCTAGTCCACGCGTAGTCTTCTCCCTTCACCCCAACATTCGGCACAAAGTAGGCTATGGAAAAGCAGCCTGGTCAAGTTTATTGCCCTCAGCTCACACTGGGTTCTTATTCGGACTTCACTTTCGACTGCTTGGTGTAAGACTCTTTTTTAGTTTTAGTAGAGGTTTTACGGCGCTCGTAAGCAGTATAAGGTCATATGAGCACCAGAAGATTAGAGGTGTTACAAGAGAGTAACAAACATAAAAAACAAAAAGGTGAGATAAATAAGGACGATAGATGTTTGTTAGGAAAGAAGAAGCAACAAACCACACCAGAGCACCTGCCAACCATCCACGTGTAAGACTCTGCCACATGCCATTTGGAAAAAAGACATATATATGACAGAGTTATACATAGCCCCCCGGGGCAGTGCTACTGATTGAAGTGTCTTTAGGTCATTCCCAAAAGGGGGGAAATTACCATGTTCTGTTGCACAGTAGAATTGTAAATGGGCTGATTTATCAATGTCATGCTTATAACTGGGCCGGATTTGCAACAGAGAATACTGCTTTTTCTTTCCTAATCCTTACTATCGTCATTTTCCTCTACTTCTTTTGTATGTTTGTCACTCTCTTGTGACCCACTATTTCCGGGATGCCTTTATAGCTGAAGTAGACTTTGTGCTGTTGAAGCTATAGAGGTGAGCAGAGTAAGCCCAACTCCCTGTAAGGACTTCTCTGTAGACATCCACCCCTCGGCCCTCATATGACCTTATGCAGTTAGTTGCGAGCGGCGTAAAACCTCTACCAAAAAAAAAAAAAGAAGAGTTATACATGATACACACGACAGACAGGTTTTTATACATGCAAACTACAGACAAATAACTCCAGTCACCTGGTCAAAACAAGTTTTTGGGCACGTCCCGTTCTTACTCATGTTCTTAGGCAAAGACCACAGTGTATTCATCTTTTTTTTGTTGAAAAATTGGGACAATAGCTGGAAGATTCAAAACACACAGCCGGACATAAAATCAAAGTCACTGGGTCATACTGAAGGCAGTGAATTTGGCCACTACATAAGCCAAAAAAATACATCCTAGAAGAAGCTTTTAAAATATTCTTCACGAACATACAATACATTTTTATACATTTGTTTACATTGTTTTACTTTACTCTTGGAAGAAAAAAAACAAAAAACATTAAAATTATTTTATGATGCATTTCAAAATGTATTCATGACCTGTACATCAAAGTAAAGAAAGGAAAAGAAGGAAAAAAAAAGGAAAGGGACAAAGCAGAAAAAGAAAACGGCTCAGACAAAAGCCACCAGTCCTAATACAATACGTGATACTTGTAAATCATTTTGTCTATTGGTGAAAAAATAAGGGGAGGCAAAACAGTCAAAGAGCATTGTAGTGAAATAAAAGACACAAGCAGTATAGTGAAGATATATATATATAGCTTTCCTTAATTTAACACCTAAAAAAATCCCTTCAACACAAAGCTAATTCCATCAGGCAGCAGGCAATGAGAAATAGAAATGCAATTCAGTGATACAAGACCATAGTCAAAATGGGACATTTTGGACCAAAATAACATAGTCCTCATAACTCAGATATATATATATATATATATATCTAAATTCAGTAAATAATGATCTGTGCTGCTACAGAGCTGTCTGCAGCCAACAAATGGTCCTCCAATGTTCATTTGATAGTTGAGAAAGGATATAATATATGACATACAAGAGATAAATGAAAAAGGAGATAGATTCAAAAGACAAAACAAAGAGGAGCTTATTTTAAAGGACACAGATAAGAAAGTAGATAATGCTCAAAAGAAAGACGAGAAAAGAGACGATGCTCCAGAAATACATACCAAAAAAGATGACGTTTGATTTTTTTTTTTAATTCATTTTTTAGTAAGAGTGGTATGGCGCTTGCAACACAATAAGTTTTGAATAAGGTCATATAAGTGTCGAAGATTAGAGGTGTTAGTGTTACATTATTTACAAGAGAGTAACAAACATGAAGAAGAAGGAGAGATAAAGACGATAGTTGTTTGATAGGAAAAAAGGAGCAAACCACACCAGAGCACCCGCCAACCACCCATTGATGGTTGGGAGATAATCGCCAGAGGCAATGATATTCAAGAAAAGATGATGAGAAAGGAAACAATTCTGAAGAAATAGATGAGAAAGCAGAAGGTGAATGAGAAATAGATGAGAATTGAGACGTTTCAGAATTAAATGCAAAAGGAGATGACGTTCCACAACTACACATGGTATATGAAAGGAAATGATGTTCAAGTTCAAGAGAAGGATGAGGAAAACAAAAAGACAATGTTTGAGGGATACAAATCATACATTGGCATTTCAACATGTCCCATAGAGGTCATCATAAATATGCAGAATTCTGTAGCAAATGCAAATAAAGTCTTTACAAAATCTGAAAACTAACTGAATCAAAAAGTAAACTACGACGACAGACACATCAAAATCATGTAACAAATATGGAAGTACTAAAAATATAACGAACAGTCACTGATGGAAGTTCTTCAGTGTGGCTTTCTAGCTCAATTCAAAATCCTAAAGCTTATAAAGCAAAACAATAGTGCACAAAATAGGCAAAACAAGAGAACACAATGAAACAAGAAAGGACGAGCTACAAATGAAATCTAATAGAAGCAAACAATGGGCATTACAGGAATGATATAATATACTATCGAGCAGAAGAAACAACAAGTTAATGATGGGCTGAAAATCAAAATCAAATCCATAAAACAAAACTATGGCAATGATGAACCAAAAATAGAAACAACAGAACTGAGAAAGTGTGAGTGACAAAACACAGATCTATAAAAGATAAATTTTTCAGTTCTGAGTTCTCAAAAACTACAGCTTGACAACAAGGACACCCAATACTTGACCAATTGTCATGACCAAGACTGATGAGCCGAGGCATACATTTCAAGGACAGGAACTAAGAGATACTAGACAACCTCGTCAAACATGAGCTTCACTAAGTCTTATTGCACCCTCTAAGCCATGTGACCATTAACGGCCTCAGTGCTTTCTTGTCGTATCTCCATTTTTTCAAACAGTGAAAACAGTTCATAACAAACAAAGAGTGAGCTTAAGAAGAGGTCCCATTTTCAATGTTTTAAATTTTTTTAAATGGAGATACGACAAGAAAGCAGTGAGGTCGCGACATGTCACCAAGTGAATAAAATTCTACATGGAAAAAGGACACAAACAAAGAGAAATGCCTATCAGGATTGGTCGTGAAGTTACCATGACTAGAAGATAAAAGGATAGGAAACAAGGCTACCACATGCATATTTTATGGCAAACTGCAACAAAGTCAAGCTTCAGGGAGACAGAGATACATCATCTATTTCAATGAAAAAGAAAAGAATATGTGTCACAAGGAAATAGAATCAGGCGCTCGTCAATTTTTCGGCATCTGGAGTTATTAGTATCATCTTAAAGTTTATTTATTTTTTATTTTTAAAAATACACGCCTATCTTGAACAGAGAATAGAAGTCAAGATATTTGGAATTGAAGGAGTTCGGGGTCGCCTGGTTTCAGAGGTAAAAGTAGCGAGAAAATGGCTGCCAAAGTTAGGTAATTTCCAAAGCTTCAGAGTCCTTGGAAACTGAAGTGTAGATCTGCATATTCGTTTTGTGCCTTTAATCCACACAAAAATATGTTTTTAAATGGACATAAAAGGTGTTCAGCCAAAAAAACAAAAATTACTTTAAAAATTGTCAAACCGAAGGAAAAATGCCGATATCTTCGATTTCATTATTGTGACGAGCGGCTGATTTCACCACGATGCCTCACATAACATTTATGATGAAGATATTGATCAACAAGAAAGTTCAATGACAAAAACCCAAAGAAAAATGAAATATAATTTTGTTGTTCACATCAGCACTTGTCCTATCATCAGATGGCTTTGAGGGATACAAAACGTAACAGCATTCTCCCATATATAAAGGAATCAAGATATTGGAAAAATACTCATGAAGGGAAAAAAATGTAGATAGCAAAAATAAAAATAGTATTTACATGAGCACTTTATCCCACTTGGAAAAAATCTTAGAGCATTGCGCTAAATAAAACAACTAAAGTAGAAAAGTAGACAATACACAGACACACCAAAAAAACAAAAAACCTCACTGTGCTCTCATATGACCTTACATGCAGTTGCCAGCACCATAAAAACACCCCAAAAAAAAATTCCCTGTAGTTAAAAAAGAACTACAGTATTCCTGATAGCTAAAAATTTGTTTTCAAATGAGTTTTAAAAGATTTAGAAATCTAGTATTTTCTATTTCTCTCAATTCTTTAGTGGGCGTGTGTTTCAAGTTTCAGGGCCAAATAATGTAAAAGAACTTTCACCAAATAACTTAAGATTTTAACTTCCTGTATATTCTCCATTCAGTGGTGTTAGTGGAGGACCGCAGTTGTCTTGATGGAATTTACAGGTCAGCAATTTTTTTAAATATTGGCGGGGCATAACTGTCCATACATTTATATGACAAAGAGTGAACAATACGCGATTCTCTTTTCAAACTATCAATGTCATGTGTGATTTACAGACACATCTAAATCTATCAAGTTGGTGTGAATTTCATAATTAATTCAGTAATTTTGCACCAAAAAAAAAGCTTTCGTTTAAATATTCTGTGGAACAGGTCCTACCATGAGCAAAAGCGGCAAATATGCAGGGTCGTCACACTCTGACATAAAAAATAAAAATTCACACTTGAATCATGGGACACAATTATGGAACTTATTAAGAGACATTTCGAAGAGATTACCACACAGAAATGGCAGTCTTTTATGTGAACATTTAAATAAACAGACTTCTCCTCAACAAACATGGGCCATCCTAACCTGACTCACCAAATTTCGCATGGTTTTTGTTCAAGAATATCATCTTGTCAACATGACCTTCATTCAAACAGCTTCTCTTTGCCAGAAAGATTTCGCTAGCTTTTGAGAAAATGAGGTTGGCAGGCACTGATGTGGCAGGGATGGCCAGGAAATGCTGAGCTATTCTAGCAAGGTTCGGGAACAAAGCTTCATTCGATTTCCACCATTCAAACGGGTGAACTTCATGCACTCTTGGTTGCCTGCTTTCAAAATAACGTCTCAGCTCTATGGCTGGGCCAGTCGCAGCAGGAGAAGAAGATTTCAGTAAGTTATCCACTTTGGAATCAAACCTGTTCCACAGGGATTTGGCTTGCTGTCCTGAACGCTGTTCTTGCACGACCGGAGGCACAACATCTTCTGTAGTTGACTGGAACATTTCACTCAGCATGGACGTCAAATGCCTTTCTATATTCTGAGCTTTCTCGTAGTCATTGAAGGGCAAATATTTGAAGCGAGGGTCCAGCACGGTAGAAGCGTCAACAGTAAAATTGGTCTCGAGAGATAAGGACAAACGGCAGAGATGAGTTGACAACACTGTGGTTAAAGGGAAATCTTGATACGGCAGTTCCGCTAAACATTCCTGCAACTGTTTTAGCATTGGTATCATCGTGGAAAGAGTGGTATATTTTTCAACACACATTTCCTTTGCAGCCAACTCAAAGGGTTCCAATGTTTCCACTACTTTTTTCAGAACACCAACTTCACTCTCAGTGATGCAGTCATCGGTCTTTGTTAATAAACAGAGTGCCGTTGAAATTTTTTCATGTTGCTCAATGTAACAACGAAACATATGCACGGTTGACATCCATCTGGCTTCCTCATCTTTCACCAACATTTTCAGAGGAACATCGTCACCTTGTATTTCTTTCAACATGTTCATGCCATCATTTGAGTTTTGAAAATAGGAAACTAGTCCCCTCACTCTGTTTGCAATTGCTGGGAGACCATCTATACTTTTCAAACCCTCTTTTACTGCTCTGTCCACAATGTGCACAAAACAGGGCACATGCTGTATTTCCAGGTTGCGGACCGCATCAGCCATAAGTGATGAGCTATCAGTTACGACAGCATTAACTTTCTCATGAATTTCCCATTGAATAAAAATGTTCTTCAGTTTCACAGCAATTTCAGCAGCTGTCATGTCATTGCTAATTTGAGTGGTGCTGAGTACAAAAGACTTTTTTTCCCAAGAAGAAGAGAAAATATGAGCAGTAACTGTCATGTATTGCTGAGAGCTCCATGATATCCAGCTCTCCGTGGTAACAGCAACTCTCCCTGCATGTTGTAGCGAAAGCCTTACCTCCTGTTGTACAGCTTCATACGTTTTAGGCAAAAACTTTTCAGACAACTGATCACGATTTGGCAACTCATAGAGTGGATTAAGAGCTTTCACTAAACTTCGGAAGCTTTTATTTTCTACAAGTGAACAGCTGGGCTGAAGGTCTGACGTTATCACTTTCAAAAGAAGTGTGTCAATCTGATCTTTCCTTTTATTGTGAGCACTTTTGTGTGCCCTTACTGGTGTGCTCACACGGGACCTAGTGGCAGAACTACTGCTCGCAATCATGCCAGTGGGAATAGTCATGGGTACATTTCTTGGAACAACATTTCCAAAGTTATTATTGCTTCCATTGCTGCTATTCAATACATCGTGTGTGCTCATTGTCATCGTGAAATTTTGAGAGTCATCCATTCTGCCTCCAGACCTTTTCCTCTGCCTGAAGAGGTTTTGCCCTTCTGAAAAGGCCTGTGGGTGTTTACATCGCAGGTGTTTCCACAGTTTTGAAGTACTTTTTGCCACACCAAGATCATAAGTAAGTCCACAGAGAGTACAGATACAAGTAAAATCAGGGGATGTTGGTCTCACAAAATAATTCCACACAATTGAAAAATTCTTTCTTATTCCTGATGGGTTTGCTTTCCTCCTTATCCTTTTCCTCGTATATGGCATCTTAACTTTGAAGTTTTGGACACGTTGAGATTCAGGAATTGGAGGAGGTTCAACATTGGGATGATTTGTCTTGACGTGGCGAAGAAGATGAAATGTCGAAAAATCAGACCTGCTCCTTGAGAACTTTTTCCCACACAAAACACAACCAAACACCAAATGTCCTTTGCCGAGTTCTGGCTTACAACTATGAATTTGATAATACTTCCAGACAACACTTCCCCCGTCATTATTATTGTCATTCGACACACTATTATTGGTTGTCATTAGACCATTGTTAATGCTAATGTTAGTATTATGCATTAGATTTAGATCCATATTAGCAACTTTTTTATCTCTGCTGTCACTCAACCGTCACAGTTCAGTCCCATCACAAAATTTGTGCAGCTGCAATGCCAATGCAGGCGCAAGGCTATTTATTGGCATTTGGTAGCATCTAATAATTAAGTCATTAAAACATTAGGAAGTCACATGTTCACAATGGTCTGATAAGGTTTAAAATATACCAAAATAAGAACCAGTTCCAGAGGTAGAACCCTAATTTTAACTTTCCCGATTCATGGCGTCAGTTTTTGATGGGGGGGATTTTTTTTCCTCCTTTTTGTGAAGCAGTTTCACTTCGCTAGTTGTAGCACTGGCTTCTACCACTCACCGTACTTCCTTTCCAGTGTTGCATGGTTCGTACATCGTCGATAGAATAATTCGCGTTCTTTTTATTTCTGTGCACTCAATTAATAATTTACTGTAAAATAATTTAATACCAAGTGACCAGGCGAGTGCAAAACATTGAGAATGAAGTTTTAGATGAAAGTTACAGAAAAAATAAGGAGTATGTATTTTGTAGAAAGCTCCCTCCGGGGCGCTAGAACCTCTTTATGAACCAAGGGTGACACACGCTATTTCATTATAAAATATACCAAATTATCCACTCAGTTATAAAAAAATTTAGCAAAACATGCTTTGTCCACGGGCGTTGAGAAAAGAGTTTTGAAATAAGGATGAGATGAGGCTCTTCTTGGAATAATAAAGATTCAACTTGCAGTATCACCAAGGCTTTCCTGGTGATTTCTTTGCCACATACAATTAATGTACCGTATATGATTAAGGCCCGAGCAAGCGATAGACTAACCAGAAGTTATGAAGTCTATAAAAGCAGGTTTAATTTGCACTGTTGAGCTCAAGGAAAATTAATGATTAATTTATTTTGGGGACCAAATCCTTATTACACTACAAACACATCTTACAAATTTTTATTCTTTTTTCTTCCTCGCAAGGTGACATAATGGCGCGGGTCGAGCAGACGAACTGACCTCAGGGGGCCGGATTTGGACCGTGGTTTGGTCAAAGATTCATCTACTACTCTAGTAGAGATCAATCTTTGGTTTGGTGACCCCTGACATAGTTGAAGGTGGAACGCTAGGCCTATAGTAGGCTACATGTAGGCTACACTGTAAGCCTATACAAATATCTCATCGACCACTTTCTGCCCCCCCCCCCCTTCAACCAATCACCCTCCTCCGCTGGGCTCCTGACTCTTTCTGCAGCCTTTCTACTGCTACTCCTTGGCTTCTCCTCTCTCTTCTCTCCTCTCTCTCTCTCTCTCTCTCTCTCTCTCTCTCTCTCTCTCTCTCTCTGTCTCTCTCTCCCTCGCTCCCTCTCCCCCTCTCTCCCTCCCTCTCCCTCTCCCTCTCTCTCTCCCTCTCTGTCTCTCCCTCTTAGTACTCTCAGCTGTAAATCAACATCTCTGAGCATAACGTGAAGTGGGCTGTAGCAGATGAAGATATTATTAGTAGAAACACGCCTTCAACCCTC